TGTTGAGATTTTTTGCATCTGTGTTCATCAGAGACATTGGCCTGTAGTTTTCTTTTTTTGTAGTGATTTTATCTGGTTTGGGTATCAGAGTAATGCTGGCCTTGGAGAATAAATTTGAAAACTTTCTTTCCTCTTCAGTTTTGGAGAGTAGTTTGAGAAGAATAGATATTAACTTGAAAGGTTTGTTAGAATTTACCTGTGAAGCCATCTGGTCCTGGACTTTGTTGGTTTTTTGGTTACTGATTCAATTTCATTGCTGGTAATTGGTCTGCTCAAAGTTTCTTTTTCTTACTGATTCAGTTTTGGAAGGTTATATGTTCTAGGAAATTATCTGTTTCTTCTAGGTTGTCTACTTTGTTGGAAATGCCTTTTCATAACATGTTCTTATAATCCTTTGTATATCTGTGGTGTTAGTGGCTATTTCTCCTGAAATAGCCTGATGTGAGCTGAAATTGAGTCAGATACTTAACTGACTGAGCCACCCAGGTGCCCCAATAGGATTGGTTTCTTAATTTCTTTTCTTTGATAGTTCATTTTTAGTATATAGAACTGCTGCTGATTTTTGTAGATTGATGGTCTATCCTGAAACTTTACTGAATTTGTTTATTATTTCTAACAGATTTTTTGGTTGAGTCTTTAGAAAACTATTTTTCAATATATGTGGGAGTAGAAGGTTTAAAAAAAATTTTTTTAATGTTCATTGATTTTTGAGAGAGAGAGCACGAGTTGGGGAGGGGCAGAGAGAGAGGGGGAGACACAGAATCTGAAGCAGGCTCCAGGCTCTGAGCTGTCAGCACAGAGCCCGACGCGGGGCTGAAACCCACAAACTGAGATCATGACCTGAGCCGAAGTCAGATGCTTAACCGACCGAGCCACCCAGGAGCCCCAGGAAGTAGAAGGTTTTTTTTAAGGGCCACAATCTACCATGTACTTCCCTTCTGCAAAGAAGGGAGAAATGCATGTGAACAGAAGTAGTTCAACACCAGCAGCTTAGACCTGGATTCAAAGCAGCAGAGAGAGGTGGGATGAGATCAAAAAGTAGTTTGCTACCATAAGCCATGGGATTTTCACATGCCTTTATTCTTTATCTTTATTATTTACTTATTTATTTTTAGAAAAATCTTGTCTGGTCGTGATATGAAGAAACCAGGAATAAACTGTTGGGACAGCCCTGGAGTTTTTTGTTTTCTTTCTTTGTATTTTAAGTTTTTATTATGAAAAGTTTAAGACATACCCCGAAGTAGAAGATTATAACGATTATTATGTACTCCTACACCTACTTGTAGCCTCTTCTTCCCACAGCTTTATTTGGAAGCAAATCACAGATTAACTTATGCTTTCCATAAATATCTTAGTATATTTATGGAAAGATAGACTTTTAAAAAGCATAACTACAAAACCATCATCACAATTAGGAAAATTAATGATGCTTTCCAATATCAAGTGTTCAAGATTTCCCAACTGTCTTTTTTTTTTTTTTTTTTTTTTTTTAATTTCAGTAGAGTTAACATAGATGCAGTGTTATATTAGTTTTGGGTCTACAGTACAGCAATTGAGCACCTCCGTATGGTACTCAGTGCTCACCATTTGGAAGCGCCTGTCATGGTCCAGTGAAAGATAAGATTCTGAATTGAAGCCAAAGGTAGAATTAATGAGAAAGGGATAGATTTGAGATGTTTTTCTTGAAGACTTTGTCATCAAGAACAGGTGAAATTATGTTTCGTGTAATCCATTTCTCTAGGATTTGATCATCTACCAAAAATGAGGTGGTGATATTTGGCCTTTAAAGGGCTGTTTTAGTGCTTTTGTGATTTTACTTTTGTGCAACAACCTTGTTTTCTGATGATGTCAGGTAAGTGAGGCATTTAGGCTAAACGTGATTTTACTCTCCTATAGCTTGTAATCTTTCCGGAAGACATTTTGAAACAGATGAAAAATAGACTCTCCAAAGAGTTTTTGGTATCGGTTTTTTTCTAGTTAGGAAACTGAGGCAGAAGGGATTTAAATACCTTGTTATTAATGCCAGGCAGCTTGTTGGTTGTGGAATCAATGTCCGATATGTCTGGTTAGGAAATTCACCTCATTTCTGTCACTAAAATGTACTATCAGTATTTCTCTGTGAAAAAGTAGGGGGTAAAAATTTGCATAAGCATTTAAACAGTTCTCCGAATTCAGACTCATTTAGAGTTAGTTCAGCAGTGGATACAACTTTCAGCATACAGTTACATGTATCTGAGGAAGAATGTTCCTGGGCCATGAATTTTAAAAAATGAACGCACTAACCAGCATTTCCAGTGATCTGCTTATCACTAATTCACCACTTGAACTGGTGTTGCCAATAAAAGATCAGAATTTAGTATCAGATGTGCTACATCAAGCTGTGTTGTTAATAGAACAGTGATAAAGAATGGAGTAGGGGAGCCTTGGTTAAGTGTCTAACTTCGGCTCAGGTCATGATCCCACAGTTCTTGAGTTCAAGCCCCATGTCAGGCTCTGTGCTGACAGCTCAGAGCCTGGAACCTGCTTTGGATTCTGTATCTTCTCTCTCTGCCCCTCCTGCACTTGTGCTCGCGCGCTCTCCCCCCCTATCAATAAAAACATTTTAAAATTTAAAAAAAATGGAGTTTAATTGCCTGGGATTAAACCTTAGCCTAGGATTTACTAGCTTTTTGACTTAGCAGAGGTTACTGAATTCTCTTTGCCTCTTTCTTTATCTGTTTAATAAGGAGCCAGCCCCACCTACCTCATGGGTTGTGAGCATTAAAATATTTGTCTGGGGGCATCTGGGAGGCTCATTCAGTTAAGCATCTGACTCTTGATTTCGGTCAGGTTATAATCTCACACGCAGTTCATGGTTTTGGGCCCTGCGTTGGGCTCAGCGCTGACAGCACAGAACCTACTTGGGATTCTCTTTCTCCCTCTCTCTGCCCCCCCTCCCTCCTTCTCTCTCTCAAAAAATGAATAAACTTAAATGATACTCTGTATATAGTACTTAGTACATTATAGATGTTCAATAAATGTCTATTATAAGCAAGCTTAGGCTAAGAAGATTTGGATTTACATTAAAGGTAAATTCTTGCCTTTAAAAAGAATTCATTTTAGTACAGGATTCACAGTAGGCAAAATAACAAATATCTCTATTCCATTTAGATTGAATTTTTTTTTAAGAAACATATATCTATTGTGGAAAATAAGGTGTCTACACAAAAATTCCTGTACTCCTAGAATTGTTACAATGTAATATCCTTAAAGTATCCTATTTTCTGTCCCCCACGTTTTCTTTGTATTATTTTTGATTGGTCCTTTGAAAAAACAGCAACATGTTTTTGTTGCCTTTTGACTAACTACCTAGGTCCTATGGCATATAAAAACATTGCACTTAATGTAGTAAAGATCGCTGGCCTTCAATAATTTATTTTTGGGAAATTTTGGATCAGTTCCCACCACTGGAGAAAGAGATGAAATGGATCCCTCATCAGAGCTATATATAAGCTTGTAACCCTCCAGCTTTGAAACGGGTGACAAAAAACAAAGTATCTTTCCCAGCTGTCTTCTTTCCAAGGACAATTTCTTTTTATGTGGTCCTGCCCATTAGACCTTACGGCAGTAAAAAAAAAAAAAAAAAAAAAAAGAGCCTTTCGTATGACTTGTCACTTGACTGTTTTTTGCCTTGCTGGAAATACGGCCTTCCTCTTTCATTCTTTGGAATATTTAGTAAGTGATAACAAGATTTGCTGGCTGTAGAATTTATTGGTGTTAATAAGTGTTCTGATACTTGCCTGCATTCATGTCCCAAAGTTATTAACTGATGTTAACGTAGGCTGTCACCTTTGAAAGCACACCTTTGTTGTGGTTCTTGCTCTTAGTCCCCGTTGAGTGCCTACTATTTTGGTACCAGACCAGGACCTTTATACACATTATTTCATTTAATTTTTTAAAAAATTTGTTAACATTTTTATTTATTATTGAGATACAGAGACAGAGCATGAGCAGGGGAGGGGCAGAGAGAGGCGGAGACACAGAATCTGAAGCAGACTCCAGGCTCTGACTAGCTGTCAGCACAGAGCCCAACATGGGGCTCAAACTCACAAACCATGAGATCATGGGCCGAAGTTGGATGCTTAACCGACTAAACCACCCAGGTGCCCCTATCTCATTTAATTGTACAACACCTCTGTGAGAAGTATTACTACACCCTTTTGTAGTGAAGGAAACTGAGGCTCAAGAAGCTCAATAACTTTTCAGGGTGCCTGGTTGGCTCAGTGGAGCATGCAACTTGTGATGTCAGGGTCATGAGCCCCATGTTGGGAGTATAGAAATTTAAGTATTTAAGTATAGAGATTACTTAAAAAAATAAAATCTCTAATAAAAAAGAAAGAAGTTAAATAGGTTTTGTAGGTCATAAAAAAGAGCCAGGATTCTGCCTGTGGCCTAACGGACTCTTACTGCCTACTTTCACATGGCTTATGCCACGGCGCCTTTCCAAACCGATTCTCATGCCTTTCCAAAGCAATTCTCACCATGAACATCTTCCTAGCTTTAAAGAATTTATGGACTTATGTGAGCATAATACATCCAGATGTGTGGAAGACAAAAAGACTACACCAAAAATGTTATGAGTGGTTATCTGGATGGTACGTCTGTGGGTCCTTTTTAAATTTTTTCTTTGGGGCGCCTGGTTGGTTCAGTTGGTTAAGTGCCCAACTTCAGCTCAGGTCATGATCTCACGGTTCCCCAGTTTGAGGGCAACAGCTCAGAGTCTGGAGCCTGCTTCGGATTCTGTGTCTCCCTCTCTCTCTGCCCCTCCCCTGCTCATGCTCTGTCTCTCTTTCTCTCAAAAATAAACATTAAAAAAAAAACAAACCAATTTTCTTCTTTGTATTCCTCTTTATTTTTCTACACACACAAACATACGTTCTTCTGTAATAAAATTTTTATGTTACATGGTGAACTTTGTAATTGAGACAGGACATTTCTAATTCATTGTTGCTTATTTCTAGATCAATTGGCCTTATTTCCTCCATGGAAATCTAGTCACTATGATGTCGTAGTTGGTGTGTTGTCAGCTCGCAATAACCATGAACTTCGAAATGTGATAAGAAGCACCTGGCTGAAGCATCTAATACAACATCCATCATTAAGTCAACGGTAGGTGTTCTTCATCGGCACCTTGCCCGAGTTACTAAGTAAGAGTTCTGAAAAACCTCTTTGGGGACAGTCAGAGATATTAATTTAGGACTGTGACATTTCTCCCTAGAAGAAACAGCCATTTCATTTTCCCTTCCCTCCATGTAACTGAGGGATTCACAAAAGGAATTTTTTTTAATGTTTATTTATTTTTGGGAGACAGAGCAAGTGTGCACATGGGCAAGGAGGGGCAGAGAGAGGAGGAGGGAGGCAGAGGATCCCAAGGGGGCTCAGAGCTGTCAGCACAGAGCCAAATACGGGGCTCGAACTTACAAACCACAAGATCGTGGCCTGAGCTGATGTTGGACGCTTCACCCACTGAGTCACCCAGGTGCCCCCACAAAAGGAAATTGAACCAAGGTTCTTAGCCAAAAGGTAGTTGGGGGAGACTATATTCAGTGGTTAACATAGGTACTATTTATAGATACCTAGTTTGTTTTATTTTGCTTTGTTTCTGCTTTACTTTAGAACAGTAATTTTTTTTTTAGAACAGTAATTGTAAAAGGCTCTAGTCCAGAATAGTCCTCTGCTTAGATCTGTTTGTGTGTAAATATGCTTTTCACTAACTTCACAGGACACGCTTAATTTTTTCCTGCTCTGTAGTATTGAGTCATGTGGTCTGCGGTGTGTGTGTTGTATGCCACGCTGTTTCTCCTGACCACCCTTCGGGGATGACCTTTGGTAGCACATCTGCTATTGATATTAGATGGCTTAGTTGTTGGTTAGGAGCCCAAGGCTTCGTCTTCTAGGTGAGATCAGCCTCTGAGGGTTACATTGCAAGGGGCTTGTGGAAGAGAAATGTGGGAGATTGAACCTTTGGTTATGTGAGGACCCTGAGGTGATGGGCAGTTCTGGAAGGCTCTCTCAGGCTTGCATGAAGCTGGCGTTTTCATGGCTGAGTAGCTGTAGGACTGCAGAATTTTCTTGTCATCCGTAGTGAACATCGATAGATTTCTTACCTTATGCATAGCCGCTTTCATTCTTTTCCAAGCCTGGTTTCTTTTCGTTCATGTTTTCTTTTCTTTCCTTTCCTCCCCTCCCCTCCCCTCCCCCCTCTCTCTCTCTCTCTTTCTTTCTTTCTTCTTTTTTCAAATAGTTTATTGTCAAGTTGGTTTCCATATAACACCCAGTGCTCATCCCCACAAGTGCCCTCCTCCATGCCTGTCTCCCCCCTCACCCCCCCCCACATCCATCAGTCCTCAATTTGTTCTCAGTATTAAAGAGTCTCTCGTGGTTTGTCTCTCTCCCTCTCCCCCACTATGATAATAGAACCCATCACCCAGCAAATGAAAGGCCTCAGACCTTCCTCTGAAACCTGTACTTCCTGCGAGGTCTTTCACTTCTCAGAAAATAATGACCCCTCTACAAGGCAAAAAAAATCCTGGTGATTGTGTTATAAATGAGGGAGTAAGTCCCCCTCGTGGGTATTTTTTTTTTAAATTTTTTTACTACTTTATTTATTTTTGAGACAGAGACAGAGCATGAGTGGGGGAGGGTCAGACAGAGAGGGAGACACTGAATCTGAAACAGGCTCCGAGCTATCAGCACAGCACCCGACGCGGGGCTCAAACCCACAAACCAGAAGATCATAACCCGAGCCAAAGTCAGATGCTTAACTGATTGAGCCACCCAGGTGCCCCCCTCTCATGGGTTTTTAAGGAACACTCCAGCATGACCACGAAAGTTCCACTGGGAGAGGCATATGAAATTAGATTTATTTTTTTTATAATGATGACTTTATTTTTATTTATTTTTTAAGCTTATTTATTTTGAGAGAGAGAGAGAGAGACAGTGAGTTGGGGAGGGGCAGGAAGAGAGAAGTCCCAAGCAGGTTCTGCATTGTTAACACGGAGCCCAAGGTGGGGCTTGAACTCACGAACCATGAGATCGTGACTTGAGCCGAACGAAATGAAGAGTCGGAGCCTCAACCAAGTGAACCATCCAGGCGCCCCTGTACTCTTATTTTAAATCCTCATTGTTTGTGAATGGTGTTCTGCCTTAATTCGTCATCAGTAAAAGAAAGTGCTTGCATTTCTATGGCTGTGACTTACTTTCAAATCTTGCATTTCACTGAAGGAGCCAGACTCCACATATATTTCCAGGACCTTGTTTAATTACAAGCCTTTGTAATAAAATAAATAAGTTGTCAACTTCAGAAGTGTTTACTAAGTATCTTCTTTATTCAGGAAGTGTACTGTCTGTGGTAGAATATAAAGATAGTGACAGTATAGCCTGGGTCTTTATGGGGGAAGTTTGTAATAGTGTAATAAAATGTTATATGTGCTGTCATATAAATAGATAGAAAACAGCCCAGAGTGTTTGGGAACCCCCAAACAGCTCCATGTAAGTGGAGCACGTAGGGGAGGGGGTCGGGTAAGTGAAGGATGAAGTGCTAGGAAGGAAAGAGGGGCGGAGAGACAGGGATGATGAGGTAAAGAGAGGAGGAAGGGTGTCGAACCAAGGGGTAGGCAGTGGCCTGGTCATGCAGAACAGCTGTGGGGACAGGCTGAGGGGCCGAACTAAAGCATGACCTTTGAAGAAAATGACGTCAGTAGACAGGAGGAGGAGGATTGCTAGCTATTAACTTAGTAATGAAATCATCAGTCAAGATGAAAAATACTAGATGAGAAGAGCAGGTGTCTTGGGGAGAGAAGTTCAGCTGTGGATAATGTCGAGTTTGTGGCAGCTGTTGGCAGTGGTGTGCTAAGAAATGTTGACAAGCTGGCCTTCTGAAAAATAAGTATGTTTATGCATATGTCTGTGTTTACTATGAGTTTCATTGATATAAAGGATGTATACACATGTGACATATGATAACTTATATGGTACTCTTTATGATAAATTTCGTGCAGCCAGCAGATTCTCCTTTCATTGAATTAGACTGTCATTGTTTTAGACTTTTGTATCTGTAACTGACTTATGTGTGCAGTTGACAAAAGAGTGTAGTTCTGATGTAAATGTTCTTAGTCAATTGAGTCCACGGCTTCTTTGCTGAATAGGTTTTGAACAGTGGAAGAGTATTTCCTCAGTTTTTTTGTACCATTCAAATAGAATGTCTACCGATGTGTCACTGTTTTTAATTTTTATGTACTTATTTTTAATTCAAATATAGTTAACATACAATGTTATATTAGTTTCATGTGTATGATAGGGTGATTCAACAATTCCATACATTACTCAGTACTCACGATAAAAGTGCTCTTTTTTAAAAAAAATTTTGGGGCGCCTGGTGTCTCAGTTGGTTAAGCATCCTCCCCTGCTCCTGCTACCTCTCTCTCAGAGATAAAACATTAAAAATTAAAAAAAGATTTTAAGTTTACTTATTTTGAGACGGGGTGCAGAGAGGGGGAGAGAGAGAGGATCTCTGGATCACCAGCACAGAGCCCGATGCAGGACTCAAACTTAGAAACTGTGAGATCATGATCTGAGCTGAAACTAGGAGTCGGATGCTTAACCAACTGAGCCACCCAGGCGCCCCACAATAAGTGTGTCCTTCACCTATTTCACCCATCGCTCCTCCCCACCTTGCCTCTGGTAACCACCAGTTTGTTCTCTCTAGTTAAGAGTCTGGTTTGTCTTTCTCTGACTTATTTCACTTAGCATTATACTGTCTACATCCATCCATGTTTTTGCAAATGGCAAGACTTCATTCTTCTTTATGACTCAGTAATAACTGCATTGTATATCTATACCTCTTCCTGATCCGTGCATCTAGCAGTGGGCACCTGAGTTGTTTCCATGGACTGACTACCGTAAGCAATGCTGCAGTAAACCTAGGGATGCACATAGCTTTTCAAATTAGTGTTTTGGTTTTCTCTGGGTAAATAGCCAATAGTGGAATTACTGGATCATATGGTAATTCTGTCTTTAATTCTTTGAGGACCCTCCACACAGTGGCTGCACCAGTTTGCATTCCCACCAGCAGTGCACAAGGGCTTCCTTTTCTACACATGCTTACCAGTGCTTGTTATTTCTTATCTTTTGGTACTGGCCATTCCGACAAGGTGTGACATGATATCTCATTGTAGTTTTGGTTTGCATTTCTGTGATCATGAGTGATGTTGAGCATCTTTTCATGTATCTGTTGGCCATCTGGATGTCTTCTTTGGGAAAATATTCATGTCTTCTGACTATTTTTAATTGGATTAGTTTTTTGGTGTTGAGTTGTACAAGTTCTTTATATATTCTGAATACTATTCCCTTATTGGATATGTCATTTACAAATATCTTTTCCCATTTAGTAGGTTGCCTTTAGTTTTATTGATTATTTCCTTCACAGTGCAGAAGCTTTTTATTTTGGTGTAGTCCCAGTAGTTTAATTTTGCTTTTATTTCCTTTGCTTGAGGAGACAGATCTAGAAAAGTATTTCTGTGGCCAGTGTCAGAGAAATTATTGCCCTTGTTTGCTTCTAGGAGTTTTAGGGTTTCAGGTTTCACATTTAGGTCTTTAATCCATTTTGAGTTTATTTTTGTGTGTGGTACAAGAGAGTGGTCCAGTTCATTCTTTTGTATGTAGCTGTCCAGTTTTGCCAGCACCATTTGTTGAAGAGACTGTCTTTTCCCATTGGATGTTCTTGCCTCTTTTGTCATAGATTAATTGACCATATAATTGTGGGTTTAGTTCTGGGCTCTCTATCTTATTCCGTTGATCTATGCAGACATGGCCCATATTTAAGTTTAATCTGCATTAATTTTTCCTCCAACATTTACTGTTTTCCCTTCCCATCACTTAAAGTCAACGAAACAATAAATAAAACCCTTATTTATAGTGTTTGCTAGCTTCCATAGTGTAAATATTCTCACTGTGATGACTTTCAGCCAACTAATGCAACATCTCTGAACATGAGTTGGGGAAGGTATGCATTAGCACACCATTATAATTCTACCACATGGATATAATAGATAAAAATAACCTGGGGCGCCTGGGTGTCAGTCGGTTAAGCATCTGACTTCGGCTTAGGTCATTATCTCATGGTTTGTGAGTTCAAGCCCCTCATTGCGCTCTGTGCTGACAGCTTAGAGCCAGGAGCCTGCTTTGGATTCTGTGTCTCCCTCTGTTCTATACTCTTCCTCTGCTCATGCTTTATCTCTCTTTCTCTCAAAAATAAATAAACATTGAAAAAAATTTTAAAAAATAACCTCAAAAGCATAGATAGTAGTGAAATAATTAAGAAATGATTAACTGGAATGTTTTCTTTGTTTTTTATGTAATGTATTTAATTGTAAGTTTATGTAATCTAATAAGGCTGGTCTTTTTTTTTTTTTTTTACTGTTTTGTTTATTAGACAGCGTGAGCAGGGGAGGGTCAGAGAGAGACACAGAGGAGACACAGGATCTGAAGCAGGCTCCAGGCTCTGAGCTAGCTCTCAGCACAGAGCCCAACGTGGGGCTCGAACCCACAAACTGTGAGATCATGACCTGAGCCGAAGTCGGATGCTTAACCGACTGAGCCACCCAGGTGCCCCAATAAAGGCCGGTCTTAATAACCAGCCCACAGAATTCCCCAAAATTTAGCAGGTAGCTCTCTCAAGCCAGTAGGCGCTCAAGCCCCAGCACACAGCTGTCACCTGTGGGCCATCTAGGTGAAGATGTCCAATGAATATAGGGATCTTTTGCTTAGAAGATGGGTCCAAACTAGAGACGTTAATTCAGAAATCATTCTTAAGCTAGTTGAAGCCTTGAGAATAAATGGTGTCCAGGGAGAGCAAGCAAAAAGTGTGAGAAGAGACACAAGAGCAAAGCCCCCCTTTAATATCTCCCCTAATGGACAAGCTGGGGAAGAAGAGCCAGTGAGGGGACCGAGCAGGCCATATCACAGAGGGAAAAGAGCCCTGCTCAGAGACCAGCACCATAGGTTGAAGGGTTGAAAAGCGTCTGTTGATTTAGCAGCAAATCAGTGGTTACATTGGGGTAAACATCTCAGCTAAGTGGTGGGTATTGAAGCTGAAATCTCTGTTTTGTAAAATGAGTAAGACATGACACATTAGAGCCTGCAACTTCAGTTAATTCCTTTATAGGACTTTGCTGTAAAGGAAAGGGTAGAGCCAAGGAAGGCACGGTAGGCACACAGAAATTAAATCAAGACTTCATGGGGGTGCCTGCGGGGCTCTGTTGTCTAAGCGTCCAACTTCAGCTCAGGTCATGATGTCATAGTTCATGAGTTTGAGTCCCATGTTGGGCTCTGTGCTGACAGCTCAGAGCCTGGAGCCTGCTTCGGATTCTGTGTCTCCCTCTCTCTCTGCCCTTCCCCCACTAATGCTGTCTCTGTCAAGAATTAAAAAAATTTTTTTTTAATTAAGAAAAAAGACTTCATCGTATTTATAATGTGTAGGGAAGGAGCCATATGTTACAGGTAACCAGCCAAAAAAGGTACAGGAGAGGAGAGGACCTCCACTTGTGTAGACAGACTGATCTGGAGCAGAAGGAATACCTTCTGAAATCGAAGGAAGCAAGTGAAGGAGATTGCAGACAGAGATACGTTTGTAGGTCGAGGCATGAGAAATGGGCTTTACTGTAGTTCGCTTTTAACTGGTATGAGCATCTGCTGGCGGCCAGGACGACACACTCACACTCGCTTTAAACCAGCACCAAGGTAGAGGCTTGCACAGAAGTCATCTGTGGCTGGCGACTTTTGGTTTTGCTGGCTCTTTTGCTGGACTAGGAAAGGAAAGTTGGAATGAATCATCATTAATACTTGTGTCTCAAAGCAAAAGCTCTGAAATGGGTGTGAGGAAATCTGCATGTGCAACGTAAAGATCAGGAGCTGATGTTAATGCCAACGCCTCTCTCAGTGTGCTTGTCAAGTTCATAATAGGTGCTCGTGGCTGCGAGGTGCCCGTGGAAGACCGCGAAGACCCTTACTCCTGCCGACTGCTCAACATCACGAATCCAGGTGAGTTGCCTTTTTCCTTAGCCCTGTGACCCCAACGTACAAGTCTGGTGATGACGAAAAGCTGCTAAGCTCCATGGCCCACTGGTCGGTTTTTAGCAGACTAAACTTCAGCTTTCATCCAAATGTAGCTTTCATCCTTTTTGACAGTTGACTGATAACTGTTGGTATCTGTGAGGAGTCTTTAGAGATGTACATAATTTCAGGATCCAGGAGAGTTTGCTGTTCAGTATGATGCAGATGCGTCCCTCCAGAGATTCCTTACACCTAGATAAGTCCTGAATAACTGAACCTTGAACTTGGAGATAACTGCTCACTCACTGTCTCATCAAGTTGGAGTAATGTTGATACAAATACTGTGAATCGGATTTCTCTTAGGATTATTGCCTAAACTTATGTAAAAGAAGCAAATAGTACAAAATTTTAAATATGAGTAATATTTTGCATTCCTTATAGTTAAAGATTTGTGGGAGGTCGATTGAGGAGGAAGAGAGATGGTACTGATTCGATTTCCTCTGTTACTAGGAGACTGATTTTAGGAAATTGCTGATTGTAATAACCATTTATCTTTCTTTTTCCACATTTCCTATTATGTTCAGCTGTGTTTCTAAGGAAGATTAAACTTTTCAGCTTTAAATGTGCTGATTAGACTTCTGGTATTTTGAGATTTGTCAAACCTATATGATTATATACACCTAGCTTTTGGGGTTGATGCATGGCTCTGCCACTATCTGTGACCTTGGGTGAGTCATTTAAATCCCCAGGCCTCTGTATTGTAACCCATAATGCCAAATAATGCCACATGATTACATAGTACAGTTATGAAGATGGGACGTGGCCCATGGGATGTGATCAGAAAGGCTTACTCTGTGTAGCGTGCTTCTCTCTTATCAGTATTACATACAGTTGCTCAGTGTTACTGGAAGTGATTTCAAGTACTTTTGTCTTTTAAAAAAAATATTTTTTAATGTCATATTTATTTCTGCGAGACAGAAAGAAACATTGTGAACAGGGGAGGGTCAGAGAGAGAAGGAGACACAGAATCTGAAGCAGGCCCCAGGCTCTGAGGTGTCGGCACAGAGCCTGACGCGGGGCTCGACCCCATGAACCGTGAGATCATGACCTGAGCCAAAGTCGGACGCTTAACCGACTGAGCCATCCAGGCACCCCAAGTACTTTTGTCTTATGACATCACAAATATTTTAAATTACCCAACACGAAATAGGAATTTTGGAATTTGCAGAGCAAGACTATATTTTCTCATTATTTATGACTGCATTAGGTACTGTTTTTAATATCCCTATTTATCCAGCCTTTCTTAATAGACACTGTGATAATATTCCTCTGTGGCATTTGGACATATATATGCACACCTGTGTATATAAAAACTTACTAAAGTCGTTTTGATAATCTAGATGTGTCTGAAAACTTCATTTTTAAATTTCAAAATAAGTTTGGTTTTGTTCCTTGGAAGCAGCTGTATTTCTGGAGAATTTTTTTTTTAATTACTGCCATTTGTGAGTTACAAGATTATACTTGTTTGGTTGTATAAAACTCCTTTTCTCATTACGTCTTAGTTTTGAACCAGGAAATTGAAGCATTCAGTCTTTCTGAAGACACCTCATCAGGGGTTTCTGAGGACCAGGTTGTCAGCGTGAGCTTCCGAGTTCTCTACCCGATTGTTATTACCAGCCTCGGGGTGTTTTATGATGCCAGCGATGTGGGTTTCCAGAGGAACATCACGGTCAGGCTTTATCAGGCAGAACAAGAGGTATGCACTGTGATTTTTACAAGATTTTCCCCATTTTTCTTTCTAAAAAATACCAGCTTTTCCCTTATGGCATTTAGTAGGTTGGGAGACTCCATAATTCCATCTGGTTGGAAGACTTCCCTTACTAATTGGATACATGCTAGTGTAATATATTAATATGCTGGTTTGGGAAGAGAATACCAATGGAGAATAAATATGTTGTATCTAGAAAAGAAAAAAAATTGGACTAGATTAGAAATTCCAACCTAAAATCCCCTAAAGCCTAAGGAATTATAAAAGTTGATAATGAATGTAGGAACTTTGGGACTCTAAGGTGTAAGCGAGTATTATTGTCTCTGTTCCAACCCTAGACGCCTATCGCTAGAATGCAAGGCTGACAGCTGCTCCAAACGTCTTTTGTAAGGAGGATGTAGAGGGAATGAAAGCTTAAAACAACTGGGCTTATTATTACTCCGTTACTGATACGTGGGGAAATCTGATTTGTTCACAGAGCACATCTGAAGTATATCAGCAAGAAATTGTATTTGAAAAGATAAACCTGTGGGTCTTAAACTATAGAAATCTTGGAGGAGTTCTACAGTGAGCACCCGTATACCTACCTAATTTGTATAGTAGTTAACATTTTGACTAGTTTTGCCTATTGTGGGGTTTTATATGTAAATAGAATCAAAAGGTACTCTCCTGTGTAAGGCTTCTTTCACTCAACCTGTTTTTGTAACCCATCCATGTTCTTGTATGTATTAGTGAATTTTCCCTTTTCTTTTACTTTTTTTTTTAAGTGAGATCTATGCCCAGTGTGGGGCTTGGACTCACAAACCTCAGGTCAAGAGGACATAATCTACCAACTGAGCCAGCCAGCGCCCTTTCCCTTTTTTTTTTTTTTTTTTTTTTTTTTTTTTTGGCTGAGTTGTATTCCAGCAGTATGTTTATGCGTTCTCCTGATAGTCAGCATATAGAATGTTTCCTGTGTTCTTGCTCTTTATTCTGTTAGTGGGATGAATTACATTTATTCATTTTGAAATGTTAAACCTACCTCCTATTTGTCTTGGTCATGATATATCTTTTTTTTTTTTTTTTAATGCTGCTAGAAATTGTGTTTCTTGAGGACAGCTTGTAGTTGGTCTTCCTTTCAAATCCAGTCTGTGAATCTCTACTTTTTTACATGAAGTGTTTATCCATTTACATTTAACGCAATTATTGAAGTGGCTGGATTTCTGTTTTTCATTTTGCTATTAGTTTTCAGTTTGTTCCACTGTTTTTACCTTTGTTCTTCTTTTCCTGCCTTCTTTGGGTTTGAGTATTTTTTAAAATTCCATTTTAATCTCTCTGTTGTGCTTTCAGCTACAGCTCTTTGTATGGGGTGTGTGTGTGGTTGACAGAAAGATTACGATATACATCCTAAATTTTTCATTTTTCTGAAAATTGATGCTGTACCCTTTCATGTCAAATATAAGAAGAATGTTACAGCTTTTGCTTTAAACAGCCAAATGTGTATGAAAGTAATTTAGAGAAGGTATAGTCTTTTAGATTTGCCCACACAGACATCTACCATTTCCGGTGCTCTTCATTCCTTCCTGAATATTGAGGTTTCCTGAACACACAAATTTACTGGTAATGAATTTGCCTAGTTTTCCTTTTTCTGAAAATGTTTTTATTTTGCCTTTATTCTGTCCCCCGCCCCTCCTTTTTTTCTTAAGGAATATTTTCTGATATAAAAATTCTGGGTTGATTTTTTTTTTTTTCTCTTAAGTATTTTTAAGATGTCCCTTCAACATTTCCTGGCCTCCACTGTTTCGGGTGAGAAGCCAGCTAGCCTTCCTATTGCTCCCGGGGATGATACATGGGATGTGGTTTTTGCTTGCTTTTCCTGGCTGCTTGGAAAATTTTCTCTTTATACTTGGTTTTAAGCAGCTTGATTGTGTTGTACTTTGGTGTGGCGTTTTCTTTGTGTCTATTCAGCTCAGGGTTTGCCAACTTTCTTGAATCTGTAAGTTTGTCTTTTACCAAATTTGGGAAACCTTCAGCTATTATTTCTTCAAAAAAGTTTGCTCAGCCGCATTTTCTCCACTCATTCCGAATTTCAATTTCATGTCTATTAGACCTTTTGGCATTGTTGTCCAGATCATGAGACTGTCTGTGCACATTTAAATAAATGTTTTTTTCTTTTTTTCATATTCAGTCATTTCCATCAATCTGTATTCAGATTCACTGACTCTTCCACCATCTCAAATCTGTTCAAACTCGTCAGTGAATTTATTTTCGATATTGTACTTCTCAGTTCCAGAATTTCCCTTCAATTCTCTTTCGTCGTTTTATTTCTCTAAAATTTCCTGTGTTTATTCATTTTGAACATATTTTCTTTGCAGCTTTGACCTTAGTTATAATAATGGCTTTAAAATCCCGTCTGTTTATTCTCGTATTTGAATCATGTTGAAGTCTGTCTTTATCGATTATCATCTTTTCTCTTGAGCATGGATAACAGTTTTGTGGTGTATCTTATATCAAGTAATTTTGGATTATATCCTAGATATTGTGAATAATTCATTGCAGGGTCTCTGGATCTTATTATATTCCATGAAGAGTATCGATGTTTTGTTTGTTTTCGGCAGGCAGCTACATTGGCTGAGAGAGACTTTAGACTTTTTCTCCCTCGCAGTGGGCAGCAGCTGAAATCTCTGTTCAGTTCTTCGGGACTTTGGTGCGCTACTTGGATTCCGCTTTGAATGTGGATGTCATGAGTCAGTCATGGATTTGGGCAGAATTTATGTAAAGAATTTAGGACTCTCTCTTTTTGACCCTTTCCTTTTGGGGATTTTTCTCACTTTGTAGCTGATGTGTTTGCCCCAACTCTGTCCTTGGATATTTTTCAACCAGAATAATGGCAGGTTTTAATTAAAATTTCTGGTTGCCCCCACAAGGTGTGCCTTCAGATGAAGAAAATCATTTTTTAAATGTGCTGTTCTTTTCTTCCTAGTATTGATTTTCCTTCAGTTTCAGCCTATTCACATTCCAGTGCCTTCAGAGCATCTTTTTTCTGTTTTGTCCAGTGTTCATAATTGTTATCTATAGAAGAATTGTTATCTGTAGAAGAACTCAGGTTTTTTAGGCCTCATGAAGCTTATTTTTGTATTACTGTGAATGGTAATTGTTACTAACAGATACAGTGTTAGAGAGCAACTAGTAAATATGTAAATCAATTTAAGCTTAAATTTTTTTTTTTGCTTTTTCTAAAGAATCCTTTTTCTAAATTCCTGCTTTTTCTAAAGAATCTGTAGTTGGTGAATGTGCTTAATTACATAAATGTAAGCAGGAGGGAACAAATCTACCAATGATTCCAGCCATTATAACTACAGTGAGAGAGCTTTATGAAATGACTCAGGTATGGGAGTTTGTGTTTTATTGTGGTTAAAAGCTCCACTGACACAAAAACTCAAACATGTAACTAAAACAACAGGTCTCTGGATTCCACTGTTATCCTGATCTAGAAATTAGGATTACTCTTGAATCTTTTTTTTTTAATGTTTTTAAAATGTATTTGAGAGACACCGTGAGTCGGGGAGGGGCAGAGAGAGAGGGAGACACAGGATCTGAAGCAGGTACCGGGCTCTGAGCTGCCAGCACAGAGCCCAATGCGGGGCTCGAACTCACAAACCTCGAGATCATGAACTGAGCTGAAGTCAGATGCTTATCTGAGCCATCCAAGCTGTCCCTCTTCGTGTTTTAGAACTTCATGACAGCTTTTGTTATCTTAAATATCTATTTGATAACCACGATTGCATTGGAAAATGCAATGTCTAAATGACAGGAGACCCGTATTAACCATGGCTGGGGCCGTCAAGGATTACACCGACCAAGACAGAAGATGTTTGCAAACTTGCTGCAGATGCACTAACATGAACTCTTTTCTTTTTGTTTTTTCTCCCCCCTATTTCTTGCCTTCTCCTCCCCTCTGCATTTGTAGGAGGCCCTCTTCGTGGCCCGTTTTAGTCCTCCGAGCTGTGGTGTGCAGGTGAACAAGCTGTGGTACAAGCCCGTGGAGCAGTTCATCTTGCCCGAGGTATGCGGGGTAACGAAGAGGCTGTGGTACCGGCTTGGTCCTTCGTAGGCCAGGGTTACGTTCTACAGAGACAGGTGCTCAGTTTTCTGTTGCACGAGGAGCGTAGGTGAGGCTACCGCAGCGTGTGCGTACTGAGACGTGGTTCTCTGCACCCGACTGCCACAGAGCCCCAGGAGTTGCCAGACCACACTCTTTGGAAAGCACTGTATGTTACCATGGTTTATTTAGCAGAGTAGGGAACTGCATGACTGTTTTAATGCCAAACGATAGTAATAGGTACGGCCTGATGGAAATACCAGATGCAGACACCAATTAAAGAAGTCAGGTAGTTTCCTTATCTAAAGATGGGGATGGTGAGTGCAGACAGGATAACTGCAGAGAGATCGGCCACGTTTCCAAGATGAATAAAGCTCCCCAGGAACTTGTATGAAAAGAGGTGTCCCCTTCTAGATCCTTCCAGGTCCAGTTTTAAGTTCATGTGTTCTAGAGAGCCCGTCACCCGCCTGCCAGTCGCCCTCATCAGTCCTGCAGCGAAGCCACGGTCGAGCTGCGGAGCATTGTGTGCTTGGGCGTGACCAGATCCCTCATCCATCAGCCTCAGCCTTTCCAGGCGGGGTCAGTCTGCTCTGAGGCCATTCCTCAGTGCTTTGGAACCACATTGGGAATCGGGTTCCCAGGCATCTCTGGGAATCACTTTAGATCTCCTGGAGAGTTCATGCTGCAACATCAAAGCCGAGCTAAAACGCGGAAGCTAGACAGCAGACTAACCAAGAGACATCTTCTTACCGCTGGTCTTGTGGTTCGGTTTACTTGTGCAGCACATCTCTCAGTACACTGTGGGGCTTTGCAGTGAAGAACAGGTGGTTGAAACTCTGTGTTAATTCTGTAGATGTGAAAAGATCGCCTTCATTTTGCCCGTATATGAACTTCCGCTTAAAAACATTTTAAATGAAAGTGAAACTAAAACGCACTGGGAAAAAGTTTCCAGTTTCTCAGTGTTATGCAGAAACCTATAGCGAACATCCTTATGCTCCTTACTCTTTGGTGTACGTAACTGGTTATTTCCTTAGCATAAGTTGCTGGTTTGGACTTTATACACATTTTTAAGATACACGATTTCTTTCTGGAGGGCAGCTTAGCAGTTTGTATTCGTTTGAGTGATGAGCATTATGTGAGAGTGCCTGTTTTCGTGGTCCTTGTATTCCTTTTAGTTTCATATATGAACTTTTTTCTTTGTTACATGAAGTATGTACCATCAAAGGCATCTTCTTGTTAAGAGGAGTGGCTTAGCTGTGTAGCATTGGCTACGAGTTGGATCTCAGCTTTTGAAGGAAGCCATTCTGTGTTTTGTTTGTTTATTTTAATTTTTAAAAATATTTCTGTTTATTTTTGAGGGAGCACAAGCAGGGGAGAGGGAGGGGGACAGAAGATCCAAAGCGGGTTTTGTGCTGATAGGCTGACAGCAGCAAGCCTGATGTGGGACTCAAACTCACTAACCACAAGATCATGACCTGAGCCTAAGCCAAGAGTAGGAAGCTTAACCAACTGAGCCACCCAGACACCCCTGACCCCTTCCTCTTAAAGAGTTTCTAAATCTCGCCACCATCAACATTTTGAGCCAGATTAATTCTTTGTTGTGGGCACTTTCCTCTTCATGAAAGGAATATCAGGCTCCTCACGTACAGCATGGAGCCTGCTTGGGATTCTCTCTCTCCCTCTTTCTCTGCTCCTCCCCTGCATGCACTGTCTCTGTCTCTCTCAAAATAAATAAACTTTTTAAAAAAAGAGGAAGGAGTCACAGTGTGATGCAAAGAGGCAGAAAATAAGCTTTAATACTTCAGGCTAATCAGTTTTATGGAGTCTGGCCCATTATCTTGGTCAGCTGGAAAGAATTAGGGATTTTGATTAGTCCACAAAAATTAATTACTTTCCATTAGAATGTCCTTGTTCTTCGGAAATACATGTTGAAGTACTTAGAGGTGAAATGTCACGATGTCCACGTTTTGCTTTCAAGTTTTTCAACAACAAGCAAGAACAGAAAAGTATGTGTGTAAACAGAGGTAAAGCAGAGGTGACCAAATGTTGACACTTGGTGGGTCTAGGTGATTTGGGTGTTATATTCAACTTTTCTGTAGCTTTGAAGTTTTCAAAATAAGAACTGGTTCAAGGTCAGGATGGTGAGCTAGCAGTAGGTAATAACGTCAGGATGGTGAGTGGCCATCTTAGTTAAGATTTTTCATGCCCATGGCCTGGTGATCTTTATGTCACTTTAAGCTTCAAGCTAAATTGACTTTTTGTTTTTCATTACTCCTAAGTAATACTTTTTCTTTTAAGGGGCGCCTGGGTGGCTTAGTCAGTTAAGCGTCCGACTTTTGCTTAGGTCATGGTCTCGCAGTTCGTGGGTTCGGACCACGCGTCAGGCTCTGTGCTGACAGCTAGCTCAGAGCCTGGAGCCTGTTTCAGTCTGTGACTCCCTCTCTCTCTGACCTTCCCCTGCTCAAGCTGTCTCTCTCTCTCTCCTAGAAATAAATAAAACATTAAAAAAAAAGAGTCTATTTAAAAAAAATAAATAAATAAATAAAAACATGCAGTTCTTTAACAGAGGCCATACCTCGTGGTAAGGAGGTAGGATTGTGGATGATTGTTTTCTTTTTGTGTCTTTTTTAAATGTTCTGTAATAAATATGTATTAGCTTTATAAAAACAAAACACTCTTTAAAAACTCTGTCCTTTTCCACAAACTCCCATTTTTGTTGAAACCATATTTAATTGTGCGTAGATACTCATTTCTGTTGCTTCAAGCCTAATTTATTAGCACAGGTTTATTAGCACAGACAAAGCGATAGCGATGAATGGTTTGCCCGCATATCATCAGCACAGGATGACAGAAGAAAAACATCATTTGTGCCGTTTTCGAGAGAGTAGTAGATGATTTGCGCATCATCTTACTCGCTCCGTATTTCACAGCCTCCTGGAGTAACGTGTCAGCCATAGAGCTTCTCAAGTAAGCAGATCTCCTGTAATGTTTTTGTTCTGTGACTCGCTAAAGCATAAATCTCAGTGGGAGCCACGAATTTAAATGGAGACTGCTGTGTGCTTCTCTTAAAATATTTCTCTTAATTTTGTATCTTCCTGAACAGTGCAGTTGAAACCTGAAACTAATTTCGGTGAAAAGACTACTTTTGTTCACCAGAGTCACCAGAGACAACATTGTTAGCAGCGTGGGCACTTACACACTTACTGTTTTGGCAGGTTGAAATTCTTTAGATGTAGTCATTTCTCCAGTCCATAAAAGAACTGTTGAAAGTTTTTTACAGGTGTGAAAATACAGTAGATTGAAGCTACTCTGTTGCTTTGGATGAGAAGTTAGAAATAGGACACGCAAGAATTAACAACATGCGAAAGGCATTGTGGAGGGCGCTAGCATGATGGGTGAGATGGCTTACTAGATCTCATTTCTGCAGCCTACGCCACGCTGTTCCCAGCTTCTGTGTGGGTTTTAGGGTTTGTTTTTTTTTGCAGAGAACTGCCATAAACACACTGTTTCTCATCTGAAGAGATCCCTGGCTTTCTAATTCCTTTGGCTCAGAGCCGAGAGGAGGCCTGGGAGAGAAGCTGGAGGTAGGAATTGAGCCGTGCGCTGGAGGAGGAGCAGGCAGCACCCGCAGGGATATGGAAGTTCAGCCGAGAGAGCAGGATCGTTTGGGGGCCAGGCAGTTGTTCTGGCAAGTCCTCAGTGTAGTCCGCACTGTTGCTGTTGTCCTAACCCAGTCCCGGGGAGACCGCCATTGGGTGCCGCGGGAGACGGCAAGGCAAATAAAGGTCAATGTCGGTTGAGCGGATGGGACAGAGAATTACTTGCTGTAGTTTCTAGATATATACTTTCAAGGGGAAGCATTTTTATTTGGTCCTTATAGCTTTTAGTTAGGGTAGGGTTCATCCGAAACTGCAGTCACTAAGATACCAGGGACCCAGCTCCAGGGCACACTTTCTGCTCTTAGCTTTCCTGATTGCATCTTTCTCTTTGCTTCTACGATACACATTCTTCTGGTTCAGCCGCATCCGGCCCAGTCCTTCTTCCATAGGGACTTCATTATCCCCTCCTTCCCTAGGGACTTTGTTTTCCTCTTTTTAAAAAAGATTTTAAGTGATCTCTGCACCCAGCGCGGGGCTCAAACTCACAACCCCAAGATTAAGAGTCTCATATTCCATCGACTGAGCCAGCTAGATGCCCCTCTCGCTTTCCTCTTAATCATTAGGATTTGATACCTGGCTTTCTGTTTCTTTTACTCCTTCTTCCTAGGCAAATTCTATCAATTACCCTCTGTTTGCTAATGGTTCTTAAATCCAACTCTAGCCCACATTTCTCTTAGGTACATACTTCTGCTGCCTACTGACCTTCTCCACGTGAATGTCCCAAGGGCATTCGAACGGTGGTGTCATAATAATAATATATACAATTTATTATTATTATTAATTATAATATCATCTCCATCCCATCCACTCTCCTCTTCCCCTGTATTTTCAGTCTTGGTTACTAGTATCGTTTTTCCCAAGCATCCAAACCAGAATCGTGGGATTTATCTTCAGCTCTCCTATCCAGGCACTCACTAAATCCTATCAGTTCTTTCTCCTGATCAGATCTGGTATCAGTTTTTCCAAACTTTATCACTGTTAAAGTTTTAGAGGACAGTACACCAAAGGCAAGAGACTGTTTTGCCAGGAGAAAGACACATGATTAACCCAAAGCAGCCTCCCATTGTCAAGGATCTAGGACTTAGCTCTCAGGTTCTGGTACTGACCTTCCGGTGAGTTCACTTCGAGATGATCAGATTCTCACTGAATGACACTGAATAAATTCACAGAGGACCAGTTTGTAAACCAGAGTGTCCGTTCACTCATCATGAATGGGGATTATTAGCTTGTTTCATTTGAAAGTCATGACCCCTGGCTGTGGGTCTCCTAACTGGGATCTCAGGGACCAAAAAACCCAAATCTGAA